GGGGATGAGCCCAAAACATCCCCCCCCTTCCCCACCAGCTCCGCTAAAAATTCCAGAAAACTGGCAGGTCCTTGGGCATCCTGGTGTGTGGGCAGCCCCGAGCTCACCTGGACGTGGTGGGGTGGGGAGTCCCCCTGTGTCCCCCCTCACAAATGGGGATGGCGGCAGAAGTGTGACATGGACCTTGGTGGAAAAATTGAGGGGGAAAATTTCTGGGAGTTTGAGGGGTTTCCATGCTGGGGGGACGCACGCCAGCTCCTCACATCCCTGTTCTGCTGCGTGGGACCCGTCACCAGCTGCCTGGTCCAGGGCTGGTAAGCACAGACCCCATCTCACTGGCGATGCACAGGTCCCCGTCCCGCTGCCTGGGGACATCCCGCAGCCACCCGGCCGGAGAGCAGATGGGGAGAGGCCACGTTGGGCATCATCCTCAAAGCGTCTTAGGAGGTGCCGGGAGGTAAAAGTGGAGCCGGGGTGCTGCGGGTGTCGGGATTAGCCGGGGCTTTGGGGTGGCTGGAGCACCGTGTGGCCCTGTCCCGTGGATGCCACCAGCCCAGCAGGGTCAGCCCCTGCAGTGGAGCCTTTTTGGGGATGAGGCATCGCAGGTAAGAGATGCCGCAGGCTGGTGGGACACGGGGCCCAAGGTCAGCCCCGCGCTGTGCCGAGGGGCAGTGGGATGGGAAATCCTCCTCCCACCGGCTCCAAGTAATCCCCTAATGCTGTTGGCAAGTACAAGGAGATTTACACCTCGCCCGGGACGGCTTTAGGCAGCAGATAGACAGGGAACACGTGGCACAGGGCAGCAGAGGACCCCGAGCCTCCACCATCCTGCTCGTCCCCATGGGACACCTGAGCAAAAAGCCATCGGTGTCTCCATCGCGCCAGGCCAGCTCTGCCTGACCTTGTGTGGGGGATTTATGCCCTCCTGCCCCGGGAGATGTCCCCAGACCTGGGCAGAGTGATGATGGGGATGGGCCAGTGGGGAGTGGACACATGACGGTTGGCAAAGTGAGACACACCCCCCCCAGCTGCCCTGTTCGCCCCGTGCATTGGGGACATCCCCGTTTGTTCAGGGCAGCGGGTGCCAGGGTGGCAGAGGGCGGCCCAGGGAGCAGAGGAAGGCCTTGCTGGGGGCGCCATCACCCTCCTCGCACCTGGGAGGGAGCTGCCTAAAACAAACCGGTTCTGTGCCCGGATAAAGGGCGGCTTGTAGCAGCGCCGTGGTCCAGCCCGGCTGCGGGCTGCCCCGGGTTTAAAGCAATCAAAGCGGGTTGGGAAAGGCTCACTGGAGCCAACGGGTCCCCCGGTGGCATCGTGCCTGGCCGGAGCTACGGAGGGGCCAGGCAGAGGGAGCACGGCGGGCGCACGTCCCGGCTCCTAACAAAACAAGGAAGCCCTGACGGCGTGATTACTCGGAAACCGCAACGCGTCAGGAGCGAAGTATTTCCATCGGGAGGTTTTGGCCCCG